CATACACACGAAGAGCCTCAATGCGTTTGTGGTTTCAGTGCCTCATACGGTCACATGCTTTGGGTGCCTACAATGCCACTGGGCAAGCTAAGCTAAACCCTATAAACCTTACTTTTAGAGAACCTGAAGCACAAAACAACCGTAAAAAGGAAATCCTTAAGTGTAGGTGTTTAGAGTTCCGTTCTTTCTTCTCTCTCCGGTTGTACCTATAATTTCTGCATTCAGCCCAAGCAGCGGAACCCAGAACCCACCAATCCACAACCCACACATCCTGGGTTCATGCTTGGGGGCTTGGTGTTGCAAGTGTTCGGGATTTAGGGTTTAGGGCTTTAGGGTTTTAGGGTTTAGGGCTTAGGGTTGTCGGGTTAAGGATTTAGGGTTTAGGGTGTCTGGTTTCGGATCGATTTCTGACCACCTGACGGCAAACTTCTGTCAGACGGTCACACCGCCACGGCCACCTCTCCTCCTGCGTATGCAGATCTTGGGGGCTCAGGGAACTACAGGAGTGTAGCTTTGATACACGCAGTCATAACTTACCCTGAGGGTCCATGTACCCACATAGCATATACTTTGGGCCCAATGTATCTATATAGGGAGTACTTTAAGGCCAATGTAAATGCTATAGGAGTACATGGAACCTTAGGGATTGTAGGCACTTGGGACCCTTAGGGTTGGTGCTGAGGAACCCTGTTGCCCTCTTCCGCAAAAGCTTTAAGCCCAAAATCCTATAAACACTGGCCCTAGACCGTTAAACCTTACACCCCAAAGCCCTTAACCCACAAACCCTATATAAACCACAAAACCCCTAAAGCCCCATAATGTTTACAACGAATCCTGTTCCGCTAATACACTATGACCATATTAAGGAACCCCCACAATAGCACAGGTAATTCCTAAGGCCTCTATACTATACAAGTCCCGTATAGTAACCCTCATATCAAGCCCTTTAAACTACTATTTGCTTAAGAACCCCCAAAAAATAAAAAATGATAATCCCTATATATTACCCCCATAAGGAATATATTTTTTATTTTTTGGGTGGTTCTTAAGCAAATAGTAGTAAAGGAACCCTATTCGAATTACAAAGGCCCCCCTACCCTCCTGACATCGCGAACCTTGACCCCCCAAGTCCTCGACCTGCCTGAACCTCAAGCGCTAAAACCTACCTGAGCCCGCAGAAACCTACCCCTTTAGCGTTCCTTCATATGATTTCCCTATCTATATTGTGTATTATATGTAGAGAGATGATATATATATATATATATACAAACACATACATACGTATACATACCAGGCCTTACAACAAAAGTGTGGTTCTAGGGTTCCTTACCATGCTTCCATTATACAAAAATGCGTAGGGTGCCTATATTCAGGTACTACTTTGAAGCCCAAGTATAAACTACATGGGTACATGGAACCTTGGGGCCCCTTGGTGAAAGCCTACCACGGACGTGTTTGGTCGGGAATTTGTGTGCCGTCAGTCCTGCCCCTTCCTGCCATGATCTATACCATGACCGAGGTTAAAGCACAAATGACGTTCTCTGTTTAAGTGACTAGGTTTCACAATACGGTTGATGACATAAATCCTGCATTACCCATAATAGAGAATATACCATAATTCCCATAGTCTAGGGTCCTTAAGGTAATGCAGGATTTATATCATCAACCGTATGGAGGGTTGCGAGTGCGACCACACAAGGCCCTCTAGGGATTGCCCGGGGATTCTCTTCAGCTGGACAGTCCACTTGGAGGTTCAGGGGTAGCTATAAGTAAGTTCTGAGCCCCTTCACATGTGTTATAAGTATAGTTCCCCTACTTATAACGTTGGGCACTCCGGGAGAATCCGGAGCTCAGTGTGTTCAGGCTTCGGCCATTCGGGGGGTGCCGCGAGACCGAGCGAGAAGTAGACCGGAGAACAGCTGAGTTTAAAAATCAGAAAAAAACCCAAACGGAGGGTTGGGGCAAAGTGCTTCATACAACCTAGAGACCCCTCCACAATAAAGGACACCTGACGCTGCAAACCTCCAAAAAAAAACACTGTAACCCAAACACTGCCAAACCGTGTCTCCTTCATCTGCGCCCTTGGTCTCCGCATGCTTGCCTTGCAGGTCGCGTCGGATAAACTGCGGCAGGAATCGGAACTCCTGGATCAAGACAGAGAGCAGGGAAGTTTGGGTTTAGGCTTTCAGGATGTTTAAGGTTTAGATTCTGGTGCTCGTAAGGCCGCGAATGAGCCAAGATCAGGAATCAACCGCAAAACTCTTACAATAGGCCTCATAGTAACATAGTAGTTCCTTTTGGGCATTTTTTACAAGTCTATAAGGTAATCCCAAAAGGAACTACTATGGGGCCTATGGGCAAAGCCGTAGAGCAACCTTGCCTCCACGTGCAGTGACCAAGGAGCGAGGCGGGGATTATCCTGCAGACTCTGCTTCACCTCCTTGACCATGCCTGACCCGGAGTTTGGGTTTAGTGCTTAAGGTTTAGGGTTTGAGGGCTTAGGGTTTTGGGGTTTTGGGGTTTGGGGTTTAGGGTTTGGGGTTTAGGGTCTTGGGGTTTGGAGTTTAGGAGGAGTTCGGGGTTTTGGGGTTTAATGGCTTAGGGTTTTGGGGTTTAAGGTTAGGGACTGAGAAATTCACCCAAACAAAGAGCATGTGGTTGGGATATTTCAGAATCCCCTCCTTATACGTAAGCCAATAATAACGTACGGGTATCCCATCCAAAAGTTTTTGTTGCTGAGTTATGGCTACTCTGCACGGGTTTTATAAGGGACTGGCGGACATTTGAGGGATTTCAGAGGGCCTTGTAGGGGTTTGGCTGTTTTTTGGGCCTTGGGTTTCAAGATTAAGTAAGGGTGCAGATCGTGGGTCTAAAGGGCTTGAGCGGGTAAGACGCCGCACCCAATGTTAGGCGCACATGTCATGGCTCGGGCCATGTGGGCCAGCACTCGATCTATAATTCTGACACGGCACTCTCGGGGCCACAGACGAAGACTGTGACAGACCCTTCAGTGGCACAGCTCTTGCCCAGCTCAGCCTTAGAACTCGGTGTTTTGGGGTCTGAGATTTCGGTTTAGGGCTTACCTTAAACCAATCAAAACCGACTCTCACTCAGAAAACTTAAGCAAGGAAGACATACGAAGAGGCTTGCATGGAGGCTTTTAGGCTTCGGACAGGGGTTTGTTGTTAATTAAGTTGGAAACCACATCTTTCTCATGGCCTGTAGGGGGAGGCACACTAATCAGCATACAGCACTAGGGCACATAGTATAAGCTCTTAAGCCAAAAACACCCGAACCCTGAAGCACTAACCTCTCTACACCCCAAGTTCCTGCATTCTAAACCTTGGCCCAAGTAGCACAAATACAAGTGATTGAAAAATACCAAAAACCAGTCAGAGTAAATATGGAAATTCGGACCGAGAACCATAACAATTAGATACTTAAACCCTCCAAGTAGGATTCAGGGTATAGGGTGTTATTTTTTCTGAAAACAACGTAAAGAAGTCTCCGAGGGACGAGCCCGGCTCGACACCCCTTCGGAGGAACCCTTGAAACATACCTAAACAGATAAGCATGGTTATTCAAATAGTATATTGTATACATAGAAGGTTGATGGCTCTGAAGAACGAAAAGACGTCTCCGAGAGACGAGCCCGGCCCGGAATTCCTCCGAAGGAACCCTAGCAGATACACAAATAGATAAGCTTGAGTATACAAATATTATGTGTATATGTGTATATACATGTATATTTGCATGTAAATATGTATATAGACACATATCTTTTATTCATGTATATATGGGGCTTAAGGTTTTCGGTCAGGTAGGGGTTTACGGAAATAGCCCGTGGAGTTGGAAGCTCGTCGTCCTCATGGCCCAGACGTCCAAGTGGGGGTGCACGACTGAGCACGACACAACCTTACCTATAGGGTCATACCCTACCCCTTTTTTTGGTACCTACATTTCTATATAAGAGAACCTAACCATAAAACTAGGTACCCTAAAAAAGGAGTAGGGTATGACCCTCTAGGTATAAGCTCTCAACCACTACCTGGACCCTAAGGAACCTACCTTTTTAGGGCCCCTAATATGATTTCTTTATATAAGTTGTAGGTTATTTGGCGTTAAAGTATACCCTAAACTAGCCCGAAATCCTACGTAACCCTAAACCCAGAAACCTAAATACCCAGCATTAGTAGCCTCATAGCATCCTGAAGCGAACCCTTGCAGTATACCATCCCTGCCGGTCCCGGTGCCCAACTGGTATATACTTTGGCCCTAAAGTAGTTCCTATATCGGTACTTTAAGGCCAAAGTTTTTACGATTTGGGTACATGGACCCTTCCCTATCTCAAAGGTTGCTGTATGCATGCTTGCTCCCGGGGGGTGCTGGCAACATTGTTGCATGCTCACTCGATCGCTTTTTTCCCCAAGTGCTCGCTTCCGGTGTACCCCATAAAGCCCCTGGATGATTCGTGATAGCAGGTTCGCCCGCCTAAGAAACAGCTTACGACTATTGTCTAGCAGCTTATGCTCGAAACATTCGACGAATCATCGCACTTACTCACCTCGCTTCCGCTTGGCCGTTCGTGAACGAGAAGTGGCATTGCTCAGCCAGCAATGCACTATGTAAAAAGCCTGCTCCTGAGACCGCTTTTGCGGCAGGATCGACTTCAGAGTCCTTTTTTTACGATCGTAGCCTCGAACGGGAAGGTCCGGATTGAAACTGGCGGCGCACGAACTCCTTAGATGTTGCATCCATCCCCTTCTCTCTCTCTCTCTTGCTGTTTCGTGGTTGCTCTGAAAGCAATGCAAGCAAGACTCTTTCCCTCCCAGCACCCTCCATGCAAGAGTCGTCCTTGAAAATGAGGTAATGTACGATCGCGATGAGTGACCAGGTTCATGCTCGTGCCATCAGGGAGTGGGTGGTCTTTCAAGAGCTCGGGCGGGAGAGTGCACACAGAAGAGAGCATCGACCGGGAGGGTCGCTCAACTGCAGAGCTGCTAGGAACCATAGCCGTAGGCTCGCCGTCCGGCTCGGGCGACACCTTGGCTTCTTCGGAAAGAGAGAGAGAGAGAGAGAGAGAGAGAGAGAGAGAGAAAGAGAGAAGAAGAAAAATACAAGACATTTTCGAGTTTAGGGGCTTCATCATCTTCATCCTCGTCAGCCTGGCCACGGAGCAATTCCCGGCATGCATTCGTGGCCGCATCTTCCTCCAGCTCCTCCCATTGGATCTCGCCCTGATTGGGTCAGCGGTTCTCTGATCTATCTTGATTGAAGGAACAGCAAACCGACCGATGTTACGATTTCGTGCCTCTTCCCCAGGTTCAACCTGATTCTCGGCTTTCTTCTTTCTTTTCTCCTCCTGCTTCTCGAGCAATTGCAAAAGATCATTCATCTTCCGTTCGCTGCATTGCTCGCGGATGTGCTCCATTTTGAGAATTTGTCTTATTCTCTGCGATTTCGTTGTGTTCTTCGGCAATCTGCAGCCATGGTGGTCCATGAAGTCAATCAGAATCGACACCGTAAGCTTCATGATGCCGCCAGTTTCGACGAGGTAGCCCATGAGGCTGAAGGATTTGCATCCCCGCCGCAGCACCAGATTCGTGCCGAGTTTCTCGCCCAAGGGAGACTCGACCAAATGGCATGTATAATCATACACTCGCACCTGCAGGACAATACATAGTCGCACGAAACACCATACCCCCGTGTTAAGAGCCGGCATCAGACAACAGTATCATTGATTGGCCTCTTCGAGCTTCACGAGCAGGCACTGAACCAGCTGCCTGCATTGAATTTCGGAGCCGAGAAAAGCACAGACCAAGCATTGCAATCCTGGCAAAAGATCCCCACCTCCCAATGTCCAGAGTCAATGCAGGACTGCTCTCCTCCATTGACAAAAGGTCCTGTGTCTCCGAGCCGTTCAGCACGACACAAGTCTCGTCTACCTCCATCGGAGGAAGTCGGCCCTTAAAGACGTAGTGAAGCTCTTTCAGCTTCAAGGCCTCACAATTGTATTCTGGTTGATTTGCTTCAATTCAATTCAAGGCCACGACAATACCCGAACCGGCTCTCAGCTCTCTTAAAAACAGGACAACCCAGGAGCATTCAGGATCCCGGGTGTTCGGCCCGTCGACAGGTAGAAGGTGTTTTCGCGGCTGAAAAGCATCCCTGAAGAGAACATCTCGGGCACCCAGAAGGATGCCATTTCCGTCGCCGGATCGCGACCCATCCTTGGCGATTTTATTTATGTCTACTCTCTCTCTCTCTCTCTCTCTCTCTCTCTCTCTCTCTCTCTCTCTCTCTCTCTCTCTCTCTCTCTCTCTCTCTCTCTCATTCATTTAGTCAAGAAACGAAACAGCAAGCCTCAGCCCGGCCATAAAGTTCAGCGAATGGTGGTTGTGGTGGAATGCAGAAGTCGATGGGAAAGGCTTGCATATGCCGTCGAGGCTGATGTTTTGGCCTTGCCACGAGCAAACATATGAAGACATACATACACACACACAGAAAATCCATCCCCTCTTACATATTACAAACAAACATACATATATACATACATACATGCATACATACATACATACATGCATACATGCATACATACATACATACCTATGTATATATATATATATATATATATACAAACATCTGTATACTGTCATATTTATATATTGTGTGTAAACAAACAACAAAACTACGGCAATCACCCACCCACTCGCCTCACCACCCATTCGCCCACCCACCCGCCCTCCCAGCCACCCACCCAACCACCCACCTATGGCCAATGGCGACGGTGATCACGACTCCAATATCAAGGAGAGAGAAAGTGAGTGCCAGTAAAGCGGCAGTTAGTCAGAGAGAAAGAGAGAGAAGGAGAGAGAGAGAGAGAGAGAGAGAGAGAGAGAGAGAGAGAGAGAGAGAGAGAGAGAGAGAGAGAGAGAGAGAGAGAGAGCGAGCGAGAGACAGAGAGAGAGAGAGAGAGAGAGCGAGAGCGAGAAAGAGAGAGAAAGAGAGAGAGAGAGGGAGAAGGAGATAGAGAGCGATTGAGGTCATGTTTTCATCCGAGTAGCAGGCAGGGGCCGAGGAAGGACTGAAGATCTTCGCTTTGAGTGCTTGGGTTTGGTTCCCATCCCAATCGCTGTTCTCGAGCTCCAATGCTTTTGGCGTCCCATCACCAATGCACCAACGACGGTGAAGCCCCCTGATCGCTACAGCCATCAAGTTCGGGAGGGAGCCCACGTCCGATTGCCCACTTCGCTTCACTGCCGTGGACATCTCCTTGAACAGTGACTCGATGTTCGAAGACCATGCAGTCTCCGGGAACCAAGCCTTGGTTAGGTCGAGGGCCTCGGGGTGCTCAGACCAGTCGTGCTTCTCCCAGCCAACCATCAACTCGCGGTAGCACTGAAAGCAGACAAATCTGCAGTGATCCACGAGCTCTGCTGCATTCAGCGAGCTGCTTTCGAGTTGCAAGACCATTCGCCATTCAGCTTTCATCTCGGCCAAGATTCGCATCTTGATGTCTTTGGCCTCTTCGGTTGATGCGGGGGCGATCAAGGCAGCTGCCTTCGACGGCGAGCTCCGAAGATAGCGAAAGTACTCTAGAAGCTCATGTGCTGCCGCCAAATACATACCCAAAGCTTCAGACAGCACCGTCTGCATGGGAGGGCTCCGGCGAAACTTCAAGACCAAAACCTCACGAGAGCGAGGGTAGGAAAACTTAGGCCTCCGATGCTCTTGATTGTCAGCTCATGATGCACACACACACACGATAACAGAAGAATAAGGTACATAATATACGACTTCATGGGATGATGCAATAATAACCAACAAGGTGTGTATCGACGGTTGGGTGGTGCCCAGGTTTCCTGGCACATTCGTTTTAGTTTCTCCATAAAACGTATGAGTTGCATATGTGGAATCACAGAATCAGCGTTTCAGTTTAGATGTGTTTGGGGCAACACCATTTGACGAGCTTTCGATATTATTCAATCAGTTGTCTGTGCTCTGTCTGCCTGATTACCCTCGAGATTAGGAAAGCTATCGCTACACGGTTGCACGGGAGGCGTATACTGTAATACTCTGCCCATGAAGAGCCGTACGACTTGAACGTGTTTCGCCAAATGATCCCTCAGCTGGCTCTTGTTCTGATGAGATTGAGGCAACGATGGGGCCCCGATTCGGATTCGCTGGATTTGTGGAGTAGCACTAATTAGGTTTATGGGTTTGGGGTTTCACGGTTTGGATCTGCGTGAAATTTCGGAAGATTCAGAATCATATAAGATCGGAACGAGCAGGCTACACATCTCCACCTTGTAACTTGTAACATTCAGCTGCGTCTGGCCTGGTCGCTGATGGTTGCATCGGGCAGCAGGTCCAAAGTCTTCAAGGACAGGCACTCCGTAGCGAGGGCCGAGATCTTCATCTCCAGATCATTGCTGTTGGCTCGTAGAGTGTAGTCGTGCAGGGCCATCTTTTTGGTTTGCTCTCGTTGCTTAGTTGAAGACAGGATATCCAATTGGCAATGTGGCTATGCTTGTGTCCACCAATCTGGGTCCCTAAATGGCTTTCTGCAGCTGAAGCACAAGCTGCAAGCATATCTCTTTGAAAGGAGTCACGACGATCTTTGCGAAGCGGAAGATGCCGACGAGCACCTCGTCCATCAGAGCCTGTTGACAGGGCTGGGCAAACCAACTCTGAATCGGTATCTTTGCTTTGCCAGCACGTCTCAGAGGGCAGGCCTTCACACATTTTTCCACGGTTTTATCTTGAGAGGACAGGTTCTCTTTCTGGAGGGCATCGGCGCTCAGCGGGTTCTTGCCCACCTGAACCGAAGGGGAGGGGTCAGGCTATAGGTGTGGTGTATGTATGTAGGAAATGTATGTTTATATGTACGAATGTAAGGGTATCTTAAGATGATGGTAACGATTTGTGGATGATGATGATGACAGCAGCACGGCTTGTGACCGAGCCCGTCCTCAAGGGAGCTCCACAGGATCAGGAGGAGTGTGGCGGACATTTGGAAGGACGAAGCTGTGTGGGCCCACGAGCACCAACGGGACCAGGAAAAGGATTCGCTGTTGTACCTAAGCTCTAGCCGAAAGGTCAGTGCAACTCTAAAATCGTGGGAATGAACAGCCTCCTCGAACTCCCTTTTGCATCGTAGCGACTTCATAGTCTTGCCCAGGATGTCCACCGTCCTCTGGAAGTTCAGCGTGGCATCGGAGGTGTAGGGCAGGCCGTTCCTCGGATGGTTTTAGTTAGTTTTCAGAGCATGTATCAATTACAGCATCGTGTCAGTGTCTGGTCCAAACACAGCGAACCCCCTAGGTATGATTGATACGAACAAGCCCGGTCTCTCCCTCAAGATGTCCCTGCTGAACAGCTCCATCAAAACATCGTTTTCGTCAGCCTTGGTCAGTGTCTGCAGCATTGAATGAAGTCCTGCAAGTCCTGCAAGTTGTAATTGAAACAACACAAGAGTTCAGTTGCAGCGAGGCACACATTCCAGGTACCTCGTTCCAGCCTCTTTGAGAGTAGAAGCAAAGTTGCTGGTACCCCATGGCGATTTCTTGGCCCTGAACAGCCAGCCACTCAACATTGTCATTCCTGAGCGACGGGACAGATTTTCATATTGTAGTTTCAGTCAGCTACATTGAGAAAGCCTGCAAATACTTCTAGGGCCAAGGGTCTTTTGATCACCGGGCTGCAGCTTGTGACACGGCCCATATGGGCGTGCAGCTTGTGACTTAGGTAAGTCAAAGACAAACCGATCCGAACGATGAGGCAGAGCAAGAAAACACAACTCAATCAATGACTGTGGTTCCTGCACATATTCCTGGCCGAGCCACAGCTCGTCCCTAATCAGGCCAATGTTGGCGTGGTGGAAGGCCAAGTATTGAAATGCCGAAAACAAAGGGCTGCCTTGATCGGGCCCGAGGATGAGTCGCAGCCCTGCGGAGGCTTCTTGGGGCCGATGTGTGTCCCATCGGCACTTTCCAGTTTCTTTGTTCACAACATAAGCCATGAACTCATTGTCCAAACAATGAAGGCATCTCACTTCAGTCTCGGGGTCGACGGGAGCACACGGCGTGGGCGTCCACAGGTTGTCCAAGGAAAGGCCAATGTGGCTCAAAGCATTCGCAACTGCCTTGAGTTCTTGTTTCGCCGAGACTCGGTCTTCCTTCAAAGCATTCAATGCTTTCGGCCTAAGACTCCAGGTTTTATTGGGTAAGAAGCAAATCACTAGTTGCACTTTGTGTACTGTATGCGGCCAGGGGCAGCTTCTTTTTCTCTTTCGGGTTCGTCGGCTCGGCTAGGGTCGTTCGGGTGTGGCCATCGGCCACCATGGCTGCCACAGCCAACTTATCGGTTGAGGATGCCGAAGTGGGGAGCAGGGTGCTCAATCTCTGAATCGTTCCCACTGACAGATGGTCCGGCAGGGCAAACACAGGTAGCCAAACCTTGCATTACCCCAATCGTACATGCAGTTCGACTCAAGCCCATCCTGATCTGCTGCCCAGGCTCATCGTGCTTCGCCTTGGGGCTGGCATCACAGATCATTGTGATGGACTTGTGCTGCATGCCCTGCAGAGCCTCGCAGCAATCAGAGTCGAAGGTCGCGGTTTTGTTTGGGGGGAGATTCTGTTTCGGAAGCCTGGTCCACCTGCTCTTGGGTCTTGCGAAGATAGCGATGCACGAAGTCTGCTGTTGTCCTGGCATTCTCACGATTCAGTAATCATCCAAGATTTATTTTGTTGCTTTCAGAATTCTGGCCGGTCCTGTTGTAGTGCTTTGGGCAGAGGGAGTCTAGCCCAACATCCTTCAAAGAAGCATCTCCCTGGCTTGAGCAGAACCCACCACCACGTGATAGGAATCTGGCTATGGCCAGTTGCGATTTGGGCTTGCTCTCGAGCATGAGGCGTCGCCCGTCCCTAGTCCAAACAAAGCAGAAGCATTGAGCCAATTCACACAAACACAGAGCGATGCAGCCGAGGAGCTTAGTCGCCGGATGATACTTGTGCTGCGGAGAGAGCTGCGGGAGCAGATCGGTTGTCATATTTCCCAAGCAGCATTCAGCAGCTTGCCCCAAGAGATGTATCACTCGCCGTTGGACTCGGCCATACGTGTTTTTCTCCTGGGCTGAGGGCTGCATAACTCGGCAGAGTCATTATGACCGGTTGTGTATGCTACGAGTCACCAGTCAAGTGGCATCCAAGAAGTCGGCGTGTGGCAGCCGAAGCAAGAACCACACGATCACAACAAGACGGAGGCCTCAGGGTGTCAGGGTTTAGTAATTCAGGGAGCTGGTCCTTTTGAGGAACTGATGTAATTAATATCAACAAGTACAACATGAAGTAGTAACATAAGAAGTATTAGGTACAAACCATCAGTCACACAGGTAATAGTAAATAGAAACATTCTAGGTAGGTTAACTACTAGGACAGACCTGTATCCACCGACTGCTCTTCCTTGGAGAGCAGCCTGCAGTGCTGCCACCTGCACTGCTGTGTGAAGGGTTCAAGTCGTGAGTGCAGGGTCCGATTTGTGAGGAGGTTTCACTTCCGGCCTGGGCATAAGGTTGGCGTACTTCAGGAAAGCATGCCACGAATCCAAGGAGACACATCCATGATTGATTCGAAGCAGACCTCGGGTGATTTGAGAATCCGTGCCACGGCAGCAGCGGCAGCAGCACCATGTGGAGACTCTATCGATTTGCGGAGCCACAAGAAGTTAAGCCTAGTGACAGTCCTCCTTGTTTGGCAGCAAAGCCAACTCCAAGCTTCCCACAAGAGGGGTACCCAAGATCACATCCAAGGCTTTCAGAGAAGATTCCTGAATGTCTTCTTTACAGCCACGGCCCTGCAGGACGTAGCCAGCCTGCAGCTCGGTTGGGAAGCAGTCTAGGACACTTTGGACTTTGGGATCGGAAAGCACAAGTTCAACCGCTAGTGAGATCATGCAGATAGGCCGCCACGAAAATCGCACCCGGATAAGTTAACCCATCGAATGGTAGCCGGAGGCGGCGACCACCATGACCAGCCTTCGAGGGGCTCCCTCGATAGCTTGCTTTTCTAATGCAGTGGTCGTTGATCAGATCAACTTTCCAGGCTTCCGCGATATCCAATGCATGCCCTTCTTGCCTTAGATCATATCAGAGAACATGACAGGACTGGTGCGAGAAGGACCAAAACGAAGCACGGAACTTAAACTGTCAGCAAGACACAGTTTCGAATAGAAGTTGTGGAAGAATTGTTGTCGTTTGGTCAAAGACCATACCTCCTCTGCTCGGAAGAGGAGTCGATACCCTTCGACATCCTTCTCCACCTGCACGGCGTATGGTTTGGGTTCGGGAGTTTCTAAGGGTCACTTAAACTTACCGAAGTTATTCAGCTTTATTATTTAAGGTCAACTGATTATTTAGGGTGTTCATATTCATTGCTAATTTATTCATAGTATGTAGGAACATCAGTGGGTGCTGTCTTTGGTCAGTCGTTTCTTCTGTGCCTTGTGGACTTGAAAGACTCCGTGCACGGCTTTGTTGCAAGAGAAGTAAAGAGTCTCGAAGTTGTCATAGCCTTTCTGAGGACTACTCTTTGCCGCTGCAGCTGGCTCTGCAACATCTGCTGGATCCTCTGGAGCTGGTGGCTCAGGCTGCAGGAGTCTAGGGCGAAGCCAAAGGTCAAGGGAAGCTGCCGTGGCACGACAGTCTTTCAGTGCTTCCTGCCACACAGGTTGGGGTCTGCGGGTTTATATTAGGGTCTCCCTTCTATAGTTCAGGGATTTAGGGGTTTGGGAATTTTGTTTCGGGCATCAATGTGCATTAGTCAGTAAATAGGTAAAACAAAGAAACATGCGGGGAACTTGTGTGTGTGTGTGTGTCTCTCTGTCTCTCTCTCTCTCTCTCTCTCTCTCTCTCTCTCTCTCTGTCTGTGCGTGTGCATGTACTAGTGTCTCTGTGTGTGTGTTGTTCTCTCTCTCCCTCCTCTCTCTGCATGAGTGTGTGCTCCGTGTGCACAGGTGTGTCTGCGTGTGTGTGTGTGTGTGTGGGTGTGGGTGTGTGTGTCTGTGTGTGTATGTGTGTGTGCGTGTGTCTGTGTGGTCGTGCGTGTGTGTGTGTGTGTGTCTTACTGAAACGGTGCCTCCCAAGTTTCCGGGGTCACATCCAGTGTGCCAAGTGGGAGGTTCTTGAGCAGGCAGCCGTCGACATATTGTATCTTTTTGAGGATGTCATTCTTGTAAGACTCTTTCTGGGACTCATCCACAATCCTTTGATTTGGGCTGCTTCGAGTCAAGATGATTGATAATTGTGTGAAGCCCAGCCAGCACGTTCGCTATCGAGCCAGCACGTTAGTGGTGAGTGAGCACGGTAGCACTGCGGCCGAGGATCTCGGAAAGCTTCTGCAATCTACCCTGCAGCCAGGGGGTCGCTGCCATGGTCGCCTCGGCTGCTCGTCTGTGATCCCAATCCCAAGCATGCTGGCTGGTTTGTGTTTTGGTGCAGGGCTGCACGTTGCCCGGCAAAAAAAATCGAGCCAGCACGTATTCCAGTAAACGGGCCAAGGTTTGAGCCAGCATGCACGTTTTGCATGTGTTCGTCCATTTAACAGCCGGTTCTGCCCGTCTAACAGGAATGCATGGCGGCTCGATTTTTTTTTCCGCACAGGTGCGTGCACTGGGCGGAAGAATCGCGTTGGGTGAGCACGTTGTGGTTGAGTGAGCACGTAGGAGGGAGTGAGCACGTTCGGGTCCTAGCCAGCACGTTGCTGTGGGAGTGAGCACGTAGTGGCTTTTGTCAGGATTGGTTTTGCTTGGAAACCCTTTAAATGCCTTCTAATCTCTCTTGTAACAATCGGCGGAAACCCTCTAGGCCTTCTAATCTCTCTTCCAAGAATCGGCCCCTGGGCCTTCTAATCTCTCTTCCTAGAATCGGCGGAAACCCTCTGGGCCTTCTAATCTCTCTTCCTAGAATCGGCGGAAACCCTCTGGGCCTTCTAATCTCTCTTCCAATAATCGGCCCCTGGGCCTGCGAATCTCTCTTCCTGGAATCGGCGGAAACCCTCTGGGCCTTCTAATCTCTCTTCGAAGAATCGGTCCCTGGGCCTTTTAATCTCTCTTCCTAGAATCGGCGGAAACCCTCTGGGCCTTCTAATCTCTCTTCGAAGAATCGGTCCCTGGGCCTTTTAATCTCTCTTCCTAGAATCGGCAGAAACCCCCTAGTTGCCTTCTAATCTCTCTTCCCAGGATCGGCGGAATCCCCCTAGTTGCCCTAGTTGCCTTCTAATCTCTTTTGCAAGAATTGGCGCCCGGCCCAGCCCGGCTGTCCCTCTCTGCGACCGAGGAGCAGCAGGGCCAGCTGGGCACCAAAGGCGAAACCACGGCAGCAAAAGCGGTTTGGAAGGGCTCCAAAGTCTAATCTTTAATCGTTTGGGGCAGGAGTCTTTTCTGAAGGATTGCGGTTCCAACTCGTCTCAATTGAGATCGGGGTTGGGGCTGAAGTTTGGGCCTGGGTCCTGCTACGATCGAGATTATTCTCTTGGGTTGTGTAGGGTTGGGTTGCGGGCTTTGGCCTACCTCAAGGTTATCTAGTATTGATCGGAGGAGACGATTGATGACAGGGTTTAGGGTTTAGGGTTTTACAGCTTTAGTAGGCTACGGGTTTTATTATAATTTAATTTAAGTCATGAGTTCAGATCACTGAATTAGTACTTCGTGGTGTTTGCTTCAGTGACGACATACTGCTTGCTGACTATTCTTAGTTTATCAAGAGCACTCGTGCGAGTGCGATCGCTAGCTGCCGAGTCCAGTGTAGCATTTGCATTTGCTGCAGCATACAGAGGCATTCTTCATTGTCACGGTTTGGCCTCATTCTATAGAACTAGGAGCCACGACCTCACACAAAACAGGAATGCGGGAATGCTGCTAGCAACATCTGCATGGTGATGCAAGCCTAAATCGATCCATGCCCTCCAAAGCAAGTTGCGACACGGCACAGCTCTTCATGTTGTGCTCCGGCAGGTGCAAAGCTGAATCGCCCCAACGAATGCAGTCAACTGCAGGGGTCGGCCCCTGCCTGCACTCCTAGAATTAGCATCACGATGAAAGATCCTCAGTGCTACTTTGCAACGGTTGGCATACTCTGAGGGAGATCGTGTTGTTCTGACACCTGAACAGCCCCGGACCAGAATATTATATTAAACCTAAACCCAACAGTGCAACTCGCACCGAGGATCAGCACCTCAGGTGGTGCCGGCTTTGGCATCTGTCGTGCGTCGCACCGGTGTCTCCAAGGCCTGGGCTTCAGGGCTGCGATTCTTTGTTGGGTCTGAGTACACCAAAGACGTGGACACCGATCAGAGCAAGGGTTGGGAATCAAAAGAAACATGTTGCCACGGGGCTTCTGGAGCCTTAGCAGAGGCAAGATCTTCCATTCGCAAGCACCAATCATCGAAGTGCTTCTTGGCATGAAGGGACATCTTGCCAAAATGGCTCTTTCCAGCCGACAAAGCACCGGAGATCGGACCTGCAGTGACCCGGGCGGATGACAGCGAACACAGCAGCACAAAGCAGGGGAATCTTCGCAACTCAAGGAGTAAATAAGAAATCGCCTTCCAGTCCAAGCTTGAAGTGCTCCAGTCCAAGCAACTGCTCCTTCTCCAAGGTCAAAATCCAGAGGCCCAAATCGCCCCTTAGTTTCAGTGTTTCCAAGCTAGGCCAAGGCTGCAAATACAGACAGCTCCGAACAAATCCAATAGCCGGGGCACTGCGAGAGGTTCTGGGGGATGTGCTCCAGCAAGCCGGCTTCAAAACTGTCAATCGTAGACTTGAACTTAGATGGCAACTTAGCCAACCTGTCCTCCATGCCCGACTCCGCCTTGTTTCGCTTCGGTGCAAACTGCCCGGCCCACACATCGCGATCATCATCATCATCATCATCCTTAGGCTCCCCTTCCCCCTCAGACTCCGAAGCAGAGTCGGCAGCCGCTGGGCTGCCAGGATCAGCTTCCCCCTCCGGCTCCATTTCCGCCGCCTTCTTGCGTTTCCTCGAATCCGCCAGCTTGGGGTTTGCACTGCTGGCACCGCTCTTGTTTCTCTTGGTGATATTCTCTTTCAGGTCAGCCGAGGCAGCCTTTGTTGTAGTAGACATGCATGAACAAGTTCGTCTGGTCCCGAAACAAGAAAACTCGTAGCATGACTGTGGATAAATAAAGACCAGGAGCATCACGGGACTCCTTCAGGATCACATCCAGCTTATGCACCCATGCACTCTTGCCCCCCGGAAACTTCCTTAGATTGGGTGCATACCGAAAGGAAGAGAAGCACTAACTGAAAATCACAGTGCTAAGCATCTTCATCTGCTTCTTGCAAAGGCTGCGGAGCACAGCCGAACAATCCGGCAGGGTCTTGGCAGCACAGAGCCGGAGCGAAGAAGCTGCACGGCCGGTGACTGCAAGCAGGTGCGATTCTAGATGTGAGGTGGGTCTTGTGTTTTTAGGACGGTTGACCTTGTGGCATGCATGCACTACAAAGATTAGGTGGGGAATATACTGCCGTTTAGGGTTCCGGGTTTAGGGCTTAGGTCCAGGTGATTTAATTAACTTAAAATAATTTAATTAATTGAAGTTGGAGATAATTTCTTCGACTACCATGCTGGATGAACCGTTACTACCTAACTAACTAACAGCCGAGCGACAGCTCATGCACGAGTGCTTGCTTGAAGCTTCGGGTATAGGCTGTATAGGTTCAGGGTTTTGGAGTATTCAGGATTCAATGAGTCATTTAGATTTAATAATTGACCATTTGCTCTTGGATTGTGAAAGCCGGTCTCGGCATCGCCAGAAATAGTTTTATAGTTCATGGGGTATAGTTAGTATAGAATCAATTATCGATCGAGTTTATCTCTTCAGTCATTGTGCGGGCCGTGTGATGCCAATAGGATAAATAATATGGCTTGGGGTGGTACCTAGTTGGTGGCTGGGTCTGCGTGCTAAATTGTCGAAGCATCTGGTAGTTGAGTTAGCCGATGACACTTAAAACGAGTTACGAGACTATATTATATGTATAACTAGTAGAATCGGCTAACTCAACTACCAGCTGTCTCGACAATTAATTAAAGCGAGAATGAAGCTGCACTCTCCCAGCACCAGAAGCTTAAGCAAGCATCCTGGCAACCAAGGCACTGTGCATCGTCAAGTCGGCCATCCGGCGTTTCCAGATGGTGCCGGCCGTCTTCATCTTGGATTGGAGAAGCTTGGCTCGTACTTAATGAATGGGTTCTGAAAAAGCAAGAACCAAGCCAAGAGATCCGTGTTTGCGGGGTTCTTCTGGGGTCTTTCGCTGTGTCAAGGGCTGCTTAAAACGTGTCACCGTGTCCTCAGAAATCCGACCTGTACCTTATCCTGACCCACCCCGAACCCTTTCAACTTGAGCAGCTGAGACATCTTACATCCGCCCCAGGAAACAAGCTGCTGCAACAGATGGTGTATCATGCTTCGTCATTCTTATTAATTGTTGACTCCAGACAATAAATATATGCCAAGACAAAGCACCTCGAACTTTGCCTCCGACTCGTCGGCCTTCGCCCGGTTTTTTTTCGCTGTGGCCGCCCGGTCTCTCAGAAGTGCTTCCTCAGGACCCAGGATGTTAGCAACTGGCAAAAGGAAACACCGTGATTCTTCCACCACAGAATTTGAGGCAAGGATCCAGCTCGCCTCCCATTTCAAAGATATCGTTGGGGAGTGTGTGGGTGGTAACACCACTCACAACTACTGCCATGTGCCTGGGCTCCAGGTCCAGGAGGACGGCTGCATCGAAGGATCTCCCCATATCCTTCTTATTCAGCCCGAAAAGTGCCGATGCATCGGCGAAGTCCTCCACGGAACATTCATCATCCGAGCTCGAGGACGAAGGATCGCTCGAGGAGCCTCGGATACAAGTCGCAGCATTTAAGCCATGTCCAACAGCCACACACAAGCACCACCAGACAAGTCGCTTGACTTCTTGCCCTTTTTTTTAGATTTCTTCTTGTCCTTCTTCTTCTTTTTGTCCTTCTCCTTCTCCGGCTCCTTCACATCTCCTGGGATGCGTGGGAAATCTCACAATGAATGGCTGTGCTTTTCAGAGATGTTACAAAGGCTAGGGATTGTTGTGAGCAGATCCGTGTTGGGCTCATACGACGGCACGAAGAAAGCCGACTCCAAGCGACTTCATTTGTGAATGGTTTCGGCGCTCAGGGTTTGGGATGTTTGGGCTTTACACTCAGTGGGTTTAGGGTTTAGGGTTTACTAGGGCTTTGGCATTTATTATTATTTAAGGTGAATAGTTAGTAGGCAGGCAGCCAGAACAAGATGACCGACAGTGACTTTTCCACAGACAGAGACACAGAGAGAGAGAGAGAGAAGAAAAAAGAGAGAGAGAGAGAGAGAGAGAGAGGGGGGGAGAGAGACAAAAAGAGAGAGCGAGAGATAAATGCATAGACTGCATAGGCTCAGACATAGACATACAGAAAGACAGGGACCGGAACCTCATTCCACCATTCCACCAAGCCGCCTCCGTTTTGAAACACAGTTCTTTGTCAGAGAGAGGAAGAGAGAGAGCGAGAGAGAGAGAGAGAGAGAGAGAGAGAGAGAGAGAGAGAGAGAGAGAGAGAGAGAGAGAGAGCAAGCGAGCCAGTGAGCGAGTGAGTGAGCGAGTGAGTGACAGCCGGGGCTGGTGTGGCTTTTGGACCCGGAAGATTCCGATGCCTAATGCGACTGCTGACCCTGATGCTACGTGGCCCCCTGAAGCCAGGCACGAATCCCCCGACCCCCTGCATCAGTTTGATCTGGCTACATAGATGTAAACTGTAAGATGTTATTCGATGACGACTTTCTTTTCTGAAGCATAATCCCAGCTAGGACAAGATTTGAATATTCCAAGCTTCGGAAAGCCTCACCCAAGCTCTTCCTGACCGACTCCAGCACAAAGTGCTGGGCACCTCCGTGCGAACCTTCTGCTTCGGAGGCAGCAGGCAAGCTCTTCGTGGACAAAGTCCTTCCGTGGCAAGGTGACTTACAAGCGAAGGGCTCCGGACTGATTTTGAGAGTGGAGGGTTTTGGGCTTTGGGTTTTATTAATAGTGTAGGCAGGCTGCAGATTTCAGGGTTTAGTTACTAAGGTTTTGCATAGTAGTAATTTAGGGTTTAGGCACTTTAAGGGCTGAGTTTGGATTCGCGACTATGAGAATTTAGGGTTTAGGCATTATCAGGGTACAGTGCGGGATGGTTGACAGACCGTTCACATTTTCGATTCACTATTATTATTATTATTGTCTACAATTTATTTAGTATAAATATTTAACGAACACATCTATTTAACAAACACATCTATCGCTACCAATTCGAGGTCAAGGCTGTGCGGCTCGGGGGATTGGGCTCGCAGTCAAAGTGGGCTGGATTTTGGCTTGGCACCTATGTACTGAAGGCTGATACCCCTGACGACCCAAGCGTTTCCAAAATCATGCTTGCCCATGTTTATTTACTGGTCTATGATGAAAGCATAGGTCTCGATGGAGAGCTGTAAGTTCTGGGCCCTGGGTTCTGGTGTAGTAGCCTACTGTCTTGATTATATTCTAGTTCAAGGGGCCCTTCCCCGATGACAACTCAACCGAGCAATGTCAAGTGGTAACACGAACCCGTGGCCCAGAGTCTAGCCCCAAATATTTATTGTTAATTGAGCTGAAGGGACACAGAACAACTACCGGACAAAAGCACAGTCCTGCGGAGGCCCTTGGCATCGCCCCTCTTCATGGCCAAGCAGCGAAGCTGGGAGGCAGAAGTCGCACCCCCCAAATCAGAAACAAAAGTCTGCCGACCAAGTGTGCTTTGCATGACTCAAGAGAGAGCAATCAGAATCGTGTGCATAGACGGATAGATTGCTTTTGCTGCCAGCCAAGGAACTCGGATCGAAGAGTGGGCCCATGCCACTCGTGCGTGAGCTTTGCTGCTCTGGAGTCAACCGCATTCGCTTATTGGTGGCTTAGGTTTTGTGGGAACTATGTATGTCAGAACGGGCAGGGCTCGTGCATATTTAATAATAGTTCAGAAGTCACTACGACCAAACTCCAGATGCAGCAGCCCTTTCCAAAAGCACTAATTTATGTGCCCTTGGCTGCGTGAAAGCTCCCGGTGCACACAGGCCAAGAGGCATCCTCGCCAAACCATCCAGCGAAGAAAAGAAGCTGTTGAGATCATTGATCCTCAGTTGTTAGGATTAGCACTAGCTTACCTGACTTTATTGGCAGCAGATGCTGTACTAGCACAATTCAACTCGCTGTGCACCCCCAACGAAAATAAGTAGAATGCAATGTTACATACTAATCTAATATTGCATAAAGCTTAAACCCCTAACTTTATTTGGTGCCAGCAGCTGAGTGGCAGCATTCTACCTTGAAGACTCGAAGAGAATCAGCGGCTCAGGACTTCCCACTCCTGCAGAATGCTAGAAAACATTCACGGTTTTCAAGAAATTGAAGAGACGACCGAGAGCAAGCACTAGTCCTAAGTCCCACTCCAAAGTCCGATTCGCAAACCCCACAACCACAACTAACCGGCTCGCCAGGCCTCCCCAGCACCGTCCACGAGAACCCCAGGCCCAGCAGCCTCAGTCAGCCAGCACACCCAAGCATTTCCCCCTAGATAATATTGGCTCACAATCCAAAACCCAGGCCGCTATCACAGAGCAGGACCAGTTGTTTGACCACTCATGGGGAGGCTCCTAACCATGGATAAGTAATTATTCGTAATTGCAGCAATGGCACCACAGGAGCAATCGTCGGTGGAAGGGGCCGGGTCACATAGAAATCCGCCTTGGCCAATCAAGCCATCCAATAAAGGATCCAATCGACCACAACAAACCGCAATCCCGAACAACCCAGAATCCCGCCTCCGTCCAAGAGACAGGCACCTGTGTCTTCGAGAACCGGAAGCCGTCCAGGTCGTGTCTTCGAATCCTCAGAATCTCGTCGAGATCCTGAGTTACAAAAGGAGGAGTAGAGCAGAGCTTCGATTGGCGATCACCCACCTGCTCAAGGAGATGCCGTGCAAGTCGGTCCCACAGCTCCACAAAATCGTTCTGCCACCAATCCATCATCCGGTGCATACAGATCACAAGTTCCACCACCTCAGATTCAATTTTAGTGAATCACAGACAGTCCAGAACCCCAGTTGCGACACAGCAGCAACAACTTTCGAACCCAGTGGCAGCGAATGCGAATGTGCCGGTGGGCACCAGGTGTCCCGGTAGGCATTGTTGTTTCTTGCGAACCACATCAGAGAGGTCACGGAACCTCAAATCCATTTCAAAACCACCGGATAATAAGTCTTGAATCAAAACCCCACCGGTGATCAGCACCAAGAAACAGGATGCAATCGAGCCGCACAGGTCGCATTCTCAAGCCGAGGTGATGAAGACCATGCATGACAAACCTGTCGTTGCCCCATAGTGCAATGGATGCCCTCGGCAAACAAGGGAATTAGCAAAGGGCTAAGGGGTTTGGGGCTCAAGGTTGAGAATTTCATTCATTCGGTGCAAAACCAAGTGGCGGCGTGGGAGATCCAAAATTGGCCATCGCCGTCGTCACCGTCACGAAGCTTGCAACACGGCTAGCCTCCTCCAAAATCGCAAGTTGAAGTTTCAGGGCATTAAGTCCAGATTCACAGTCGCTCAGAACCAACTGAATGCGTCCTGTAAAGCAGCAAATCTCTGGAAAGCATTATACATTTCCATCGGCATGTGCAGGACAATTCGCACATTGATGAAGGCACAGAGCCGAATGCACACTGCGAAGAAGTCCTCGATTTTTCGAATCAAGTAAAACCCCATCTCTCTCATCCATGAAACCACTACAACAACGAGGCTCTTGCAAGAGTCAAGTTTCGGCCAGAGGTTTCATGAAGACCCCTGTGCATCGGTTCGCCATCGGCCTTGGGAAGGGTTGCAAGCAGTTCGGGGAAAGCAAGCGACACCACACCAACAACCAATTGCACCGGGGCACAAGATGTAAACGAGGCCGCCGGAGAAAACTCGAGATATCATCTGCAAGCCTGAGCAGGAAACTGTTAAGCAGCACCGAACAAAACCCAACCAAAGTCATATTAAAGTGCAACCGAAAGGCACAATCTCCGGCCCATATCATGTTGCAAGCTATGCTCCTCCGACCCCAGGCGCAATGTAGCAGACGAGTGCCCTTCCTGAGGACAGAAACAATGGGTGATTGGATCAAACTGAAACAAGCAAACCCCCCCCCAACAAATGCAATCCAGCAGCTGTCTCAAAGGACTTGGAAATTAGTCCAGGCCCCAGCTCCAGAAAATGCACCAATCGTTCACTTCTGAACAATCGCCGGGAAGGATTGTTGAAGTCCGGATGGAATATGTAGTCCAAACCAGCAGCTTCTAGCTGTGCTTTCAAAGAGGCATCCATTATGGCATCCATGAGTCTCGGAACTTGCAAAGTGAGGCCTTCTAGTATGAGCTCTGCCTAATCTGAAATGAGCTATGAGCCCTTCCACTGTGATCCGTGATCCCTTCTGGTGTGGCCTATAATCCGTAATAATGCCTACTGCTGAATGTGCACTATTTCATGAATCATCTCGAATCTCAGATGTATTTATGCTTGCACACGATCCTCGTATGTTGCAACACTGCAATGCGATATGAGAGCCCGGCGGCTGAGCGGGCACGCTGAATTGTTGCGGCCAACCTCTCTTAGCCAGCATGGTAATCGAAAGCTTTGACTATCGTAAATATTTTTGAAACTTCATGGTACCCTTTTTTAAAGGAACCCTTACAGGAACCCTGTTTGGGTGGGTCGACCCTTAGGGCAAGATAAGTATCCTTGCAAAACTGAACTTAGAACCCTAGCAAAAATTTTAATTTTAGCCGTTTCTTAGGGATTCTAATAACCAAAAACAAAAAAATATTTCTAAGTACCCCTAAGCTTGATGGACCCCAATGGATCCTGGGGTTACGAACTTCGCCGAGGGGCGAGCCAGGCCTGCAGCTCCTCCGATCCATGCTGTGCCTTCTCAGGCGTCTGAGAGGTTATAGGGTTTTAGGGGGGTTTAGGGCTTTAGGGGCTTAGGGTTTTGGGGTTTATAGGGTTAAGGGATTTAGGGTTGAAGGGTTTGTGGGGTTTAGAGCGTTTGGGTTCAGGAAGCCTGGGAGAATTAGGGCTTTGCGGCATGTCCCAATAGCTGTAATAGTCGTTGGACCCCGGCGGAAGAGCGTGTTTCTGAACGCTGGAAGTTTGAGAGTTTATTATCGGATCTGTGCGATATCTAGCTTCACGAGAGAGAGGGAGACAAAGAGCGAGTTCTCAGATACAGAATCAATGAAATGACCGGTGAAAGCATATACGGAGTGATGTCCCATGCCAGAAACTGCCAAAGTAGGACCTTCTGTTGGTGTCCCGTGGGCTTCTAGCAGCTCTTCTAACGGGAGGGCTCACTAAGCGAAATAGCCTGAACACAGTGTCATCGTCACGTCGACTGAGCACTGAAATGAGGGTCTCTTTGTGTGGTATATTTTTGACAAGCGGACTAGAAGAAGGATCTCGGGGTGGCGCCTAGAACAAGCCGTGATAGTTCGGGATTGTTCGGACACTCCCTCTCCCAAATCTCAAGTTCAGCACTTGATACCTAACATACTACGTGGATTGCATAGGGGTGCAAGCAAACCAATTGGTTTGATCCCAACACACGTAAAATACTCACCAAGCCATCCGAGCAAAGACAGCGGCCTGTCTTCGAACCCCGAAAGCCCTAAAACCTAAACCCTAAACCCTTAACCCTGAACCCTTAACCCTAAACCCTTAACCCTAAACCCTTAAACATAAACCCTAAACCCCTTGAAGAGTAGCTCGTCTCCACAGGATCTATGTAAGCTCTTTGGCAGAGCGAAACTGCCATGCTTTGCTCGAACGACAGCAATGCTCCAGTGGGCCCCAAAGGGTCCAAAGTACTGTTATAGGGGATACTTCCCCAAATCATAATAGTAGTTCCTAATACGGTTGATGATATAAATCCTGCATTACCTTAAGGACCCTCAACTATGGGAATTATGGTATATTCCTTATTATGGGTAATGCACGATTTATATCATCAACCGTAGTTCCTAGTATAGAAACCCAACAGTCTACTATAAAGGTACTTCGGACCCTTTGGAGCAGTGTAGGTTCCAGGTCAAGGGGCCTGACATTTCTGGCCTGCCGTCCTGCAACGGTACAATCTTACCACAAAATGTGCCTTAAGCCCGCCAGGTCCCTGCTGCTTATTGCGGGGATGCTCAGATGTGCTCCCTGCTAGGTCAAGGACTTTGAGAATTCATGGTGCGCCTCCAGTCCTCTATATGGACCTTTGAAACGCACGTAACCCTAAAACTCAAAACCCCCAGACCACCGAAGAGTGCACCCTGAACTCCCCGGACGGGATGCCCAACAAGCCCTGAGCATGCCTGCAAAGGCAGGGAGTTGGCGTCTCCAGCAGCCTCCACCGAAAATATTGATAGCGCTGCAAGAGCTCTCTGGACAAGGATCCGACTGAGTTAGTGCCACAATAATCCCTGTTTGCAAGCTTTGCTAGCTGTGCTTGGGTACTTTGAGGACGGTGCTACCCATATTAGTCAACTCTATGGAGCCATCAAAATGTAGCGCAATCCAGGGCCCTGGGCAAGGGCAATTCATAGCACTCTCGCGAAGGCCTTACAGGAGCCCGTAAAGGAATCTGGAAGACACTTCTCAGTCCCTTAGAGGAAGCCCATGTTTGAGCTTCCGAACGGCCTTGCCGCGCAGCTGCACACAGCTTTGCGAACTCAAGCACGGTTCCAGGAAAGGCGCCGCATACCTGTAACGGGTGCTTCGGTGCCTTTTATTCACGGAAGTATTCCCAGTCTCACTATAATGAAGACACTCAGCCCTAAACAGCTACAGCGTACACACAATGTAACAATTCATAAACAGCTGCACATCTCTCTCTGTCTCTCTCTCTCTCTCTCTCTATCCTCGTGACTCCCTGGCTTTCTGACTCCATCCCTCCCCGCCTCCCTTGCTCCCTCCGTCTCTGCAAGTGTGAACTGGTGTTGTTCAAGACAGGAGTTGCGAATGGTTGAGGCGAGTCTCAAGATTCATGCGGTTGCAGTTGACGTGACTCACGAAAAGCAAGTAAACCCTCAACTGCTGTTTGGCCATGGATGCTAGATCGCTTCGTTCGGGCCTAGACCTCGAGGGTTTGGGGCTACTTATCAACGACATTAAATCGGATCGAAAGCCCAAATGCCCACCAACCTCGCGAAAACCTCCAAACAAGGTGATCACAGGCCATACTCTCCATGAAAAGAAACTGAGCGTGCGCTCAAACAAACAATTTTACGTAGAGCCAAGGTCCCACAACAACAAACAGCACCCTATACCCTAAACCCCGAACCTCTGAACCCTAAACTCCAGAGACTTTGAGCTTCAACCCCAACCCCAAAATGATACCCTGAAGCGGCCCTTAACCCTAAACCCCGAACCCCTGAACCCTAGACCCCAAAGCCTACAACCTAAACCCCAAACCCTGAATGACACCCTAAAGCGGCCTGAAACCCTCAACCCTCAACCCGAGAACCCTAAACCCCAAAGCATGCAATCCTAAACCCTAAACCCTAAATCACACCCCACACCCTAAACTCCTAAACCCTGAACAAAACCCTGAACCCTAAACCCCAAACCACCAAAGGCGCACCGAAGCAGGGACTCGCTGCGAAGAGCCCAGAAGAGGTCCACCTCTTCAAGCCACGCTTTAGGGTTTAGGGGGTCGGCGTTTGGGATATAGGGGGGTTTGAGAGGATTTAGGGTTTATGGAAGCTTGCCATCTCACTCCGAGGTCTGTACACACGGCACCCTATAGGAGGCATCATGCCGAGATTGGTAAATAAATGTGATTTCATGGGAGACCGAAATGGGTTTGGGGCTGGTGGGCGTGAGGCCGTTTCGTTGGCAGAATCGACCTTCTAGAAGCCCTACCAAAAAGTGCAAGATGGGTGCCCTGTTTGGTGCAAGGTTAGGGTTTAGGGTTTAGGGTTTAAGGGTTCAGGGTTTAGGGTTTAGGGGGGAAAGGTAACCCAAACCCCAGAAAAAAGGAATAAGGGCCTCCTAAGGGTCCTAGGCCCCCGAGTAAACATGCTTCGCGCCTGTCGCCCGGAGGCTTGCTCGGCTGCGGCCAGCGACAGGGCGGGGGTAACTCCGACACCGCCGAGGACAAAGACGATCCGCTGGGCCTCCTTGGGTTTAA